AGTACTGTAAACTGTATAAAAAAATAAAAATCTGAATTGTGTAACCGTATCCTTATATGGGACGGTCCCTCCTGTAACTTTATTCGTGTCTTCGTGTTTGCAATAAAAATTTCGGATCATACTATTTATTTATATAATAAAATTTTTTTGTACTAAAACTATATCTGAAGTCCAGGCTTCTATTCAAATCCATCAACCTCATGTTAATTAAAGAATCATGATGAGTTTGTCAATAAAATCAAAGATTATGCACATAAACTTGGTTTTATTATTAGACTTGAAAAAGTTGAATATTTAAATATTACCAAAAATCAAAATCTAAAAAATTTCTAAAGAAAAAGAATAAATTATCACAGAAAAAAAATTTGAAAAAGAACTTTATTATGTTCTTAAGCTAGTTATTCTGAGTTAAAAGAAAATGATTCAGAAGATGAAAATTTAATTAACAAAGAACGAAATAGAAAATCTCAACAATGTGGTTGTACTTTTTATATTCCTACTTCTTTTAATAATTCTAATAGTTTATGATATATAATAAATATGAATCTTATTAATAATTATCAAATGGTTAATGAAAATTATCGATTTTTTATGATTAATAAATTGAGTATTCCTAATAATGTTAAATAATAAATTGAATTATTGCGTAATGCTAATGTAGATATTTTTATTATTAAAAGAAAAGTTGGTAATTGTGTTATATGATATATAATAATATTTACAATTTTATATATCAATTAGAAGGTTCTGGTTCAAAAAAAAAAGAATTTGATGCTATAAAAATATTAGAACTAATTAAATATGATAATGTAGAATTCTTTTATTATACTGATATTAATAATATAACAAAAGCTACAAATTCATTTAAAGTTAGATGATCATTTTTATATGAATTTTAATATGTAATAATCATTTTGAAATTAACTAATTAGGTTTAAGTTTACTATATTATTAAATATAGTTTTTATAATTCAGTTTATTGTCAAAGTCTTTTTAGGTGTATATCAATTTTAAAATTATATTTTTATCTTAAATTTCTTTTTGTATTTAAATAGTAAGTAAAATTTTACAACTTCTTCATTACTAGCAGTTGAGTTTAAGTAAATTTTATACATTTTAAATTTCTTTTTTTATTACTCTTCATGAGGTCAATTGTGAGAATATTTATCTTAATAAATAAAATTTAAAAAAGTTTAAATAAGATTTATTGATATTCTTTCAATTTATAAAGTATCTGAAATTTTTATATAAAAATATTTAAATATTTAATATAATGAAAAAGAAATTATATTTATTGTTTTATTATAAAGAAATGAATACATTTAATCAGATTTATATAAATCAAAATTTATTTTATTTTAATAAAACTCTCCTCATTATCGACTTTTTAAAATGCAATAAACCTATTTTTATAATTATATAATCAAAATATTAGATCAGTTTCAGCTTATATATAAAATCATAAAAAAAATAAAATAGTTATTTGTTTAAAATTAATCTTCAATCTTTATTACCAAAAAGATAAATATTTATATGCAAAAATTTTTGAATAATAAAGTGCAAATTCATAGCTATCTCTTTTCTTTTTATTTTAATTTTTTATTTTAATTTTTTTAATAATACTTATTAAGAAGTAATATCTTTTTATTTATTTTATTTTAGTATTTAGTAAACACTTTTTCAAGTATTACAGTAAAATAATAATTTATTTTAAATCTTTTTTATAACCATTCTATTTAGTTATCATTATTTAATTATTTTCTATTTTAATAAATCATCTAGAATTTACTAAATAAGATAACTTAGTCTCTATTCTTAATTAAAATGTTTAAAGCATAACATAAAGAAAATAAAAAATTTTATTATATAGTGTGTAATGAAAAAAATGGCGGTGACAAAAAGCAATATATCTCAAAACTACCTATCCGATTTGAATGAATTTAAATTTATTTAAAAGCAAATCAATTCCTTTATTAGATAAAAAAATTTCAATACGATATTCTATCGCCATTTTTTTCTAAAACCATTTCACATCTGGTTTTTATGAACATAACCAAATTATTCACTGTTGATTGAGGAACTGCATCCTATTCTTCAACCAAAAATTTGGTCAACTCATTAATA